GGACCCTCGGGTACCGAAGGGTGACGGCTCGCCGCCCAGGAACGTGCACGAAGGCAGCGTCTGCGTCGTGGGGGAGGGGTTTTGGGCCGCGTTTGGATAGTCCGTGTGGGGGTGGGAGGGAAGGGGAGCCATCCCGCCCCGCGGAGGAGAGAGTGGGTGTCAGGTTGAGGCTGGACACTCAGGAGACGTGGTGGTCGCGGGTAGAACCGGGAAAACCCGGGGGTGGGGGCTGGAGGCGAGGTGCCCCCCGGAGAGGGCGTGCAGAGCTCTAGGCTCATCCCGCGGCTTCCCTAGCAGCGGTGCGGAGATTGTATGGCTGTCAGCTTCCTTTTTTAAAAGTTTTCCTGCCCTTTGCTTCTCCCAGGCCAGCGTCCCCATTCCTCGGGCCGGGTGTGCCTCCTCGCGTGCCCGTCCACACTTCTCTCCTGCGGGCTTAGAGCGTGTTGTTAGAACCGATAGCCAGCCCGCAGATGGTAAGCCAGAACCTGCGGAAGCCTCTGATGAATCAGTGTTTTAGCTTTCGCTCCTGAATGTAAAATTCATAGTGGATTCTTACCCTGAAATCGGGATAAACGAGGCCTCCGTGTTGACGGGTCTGCGCACATGTTCTTATTCTGTGACAGTGGTTGTGGTTCATTGGCCCTTGAGGGGGATTGGGGAACTAGGGTGGGGGCCCCCAGGGGCCCAAATCTGGGTTGCCGCCCTCTTGATCATTCTGTCAGGGCCCCAGGGACTGGGAGAACCTTCTGGAAGGACAGATCTCTGGACTGACATGCAAAGTGTTAGGCGTTAGAGTCCTAGTGAAAGGAATACAGACTCAGAGGCAGGTGGGTTCCAGTCCAGCTTCACCGTTACTGCCTGTGACACTGCTGGCCCGGCCAGCTCTTCCCGCCTTTGCGGGCAGAAGTGCCTTTTCCGAGAGTCTGCACAATACTGGTAAGTGCCAGAGGGACTACAGGGGTGTTTGCTGTGGGGCTTTCTGATTGTAGAAAGTAGCCATGTTCTTTGCAGAAAATTCATAGAACAAGGAAACATTTTAAGTGTACGATTTTATGCATCTTGACATATGTACACACACACCTGTGTTTCTTCTTCTTGAACAACTCAGCCTTTGCTTCCCTCTTAAAGATCCAGATCTGAGACAGGGACTCTCCGGTTCACTGCCTTGTCCGCAGCTGCTAGCCCACGGCCCAGAGCACAGGAAGCCCGAGCTGAATGCACACTGAGCACATGCGGGAATGTGGACCCCATGCCTTTGGTTCATCTGGGTACCGTATGGTCTCTCCACCCTCCCTAGTCTTTTGCAGTAGGAAGTAGGACTCTGTACCCTCTAGTGTTCAGGTTCTTCCAAAATGGGGAGGCTGTGGGATACCGGCAGCCAGTCCACCAGCATCCACAGTAGCCCCTCATCTGTCTCAGTCTCGCCGGCCTCCATCCCTTCTCCACGAAAGGCAGGGGAGTGTTTCTGAGATGCAGGTGCTTTCCCCTCAGGTGAAGTGTAAGCTCCTGTGTGGTCTGCGCCCCTTTGCTCTTGGCCCTACCCACTCAGCCTCAGCTCACTCCTGTTTCCTTAAACAGAGCTTCTAGCCACACTTAGCTTTTGGGTTTGAGGAAAACACATAAAGTTGCAGGTTAAACTATTTAATAGAAGAGATATTTTAAGCACCTTAGAAACACCCATCTATATAATAAAAGAGAAACATGGTAATTGGCGTACGACCGCTACCCTTCCCATTGGCTAATCAGGGCGATATGCAAATTAACTGCCAGCCAAGATGGCAGCCAGGCAGCTTGAAACTAACATGAGGCTTGCTTGCTTCAGTGATGGAGGAAACCAACGCTCCCTGCCTGCTTTGCCGGCCCCTGAGCTTGCAGTTTAAGAAACATTGTAACGAATATAGAAGCTAAAAAAAAAACACACCCAGAAACCAGCTTTCAGCTAGCCGGGATCTCAGAGCTGGAGTTGATACAGAGTTTCGACTATAGAACCGAAACAAACCAGATACCTTCTTTCAGCAGCAGAAGCCTCAGAGCTGGAGCCAGAGCTAAAGCTGGCCCAGAATAAAAAAAAAGAAAAGAAAAAAAGGAGCGGTTGGGAGCTTCAGTCGGCCTGAAAACAGCCCTCAGCCCCTCACCCAGATTGGCCAGGCACCCCAGTGGGGACCCCCCCCCTGATCCAGGACCCCCTTCAGGGCAAACCAGCCGGCACCCACCCATGCACCAGGCCTCTATCCTATATAGTAAAAGGGTAATATGCCTTCCAGCACCGGGATCAGCAGAGCGGAGAGGCCTCCCGGCACCAGGACCAGCATGACGGGGCAGCGCCCAAACCCCCTGATCGCCCGCGGCTCTGTGTGTGACAGGGGGCGGGGCCACAACCTCCCTATCCTCACTGCTCTGTTCGTGACAGGGGAAGGTGCCCCAACCCCCTGATCAGCCCTGCTCTGTGCCTGATAGGGGAGAGCTCCCCAACCCCCTGATCGCCCTGCTCTGTGTGTGACGGTGCGGCGCCCTAACCCCCCCCTCCCATGGGCCCTGTTCTGTGTGTGATGGGGTAGAGCCATAACCTCCCCATTGGCCCTGCCCTGAGTGTGACAGTGGCGGCGCCCCAACCCCCTGATCGACACTGCCCTGAGTGTGACGGGACGGTGCCCCAACTCCCCTATCGGCCCTACTCTGTGAGTGACAGGGTGGAGCTCCTCAACCCCCTGATCGGCCCTGCTCTGTGCATGACAAGGGGGGGCTCCCCAACCCCTTGATTGACCCTGCTCTGTGCGTGACAGGGTTCAGAGCCCCAACCCCCCTGATGGGCCCTGCTCTGTGCATGACAGGGGGTGGCGGCCCAACTCCCCAATCGGCCCTGCTCTGAGCCCGACCAGGGACTGCACCTAGGGATTGTGCCTGCCCTCTGCCACTTGGGAGCAGGCCTAAGCCAGCAGGTCGTTATCTCCCGAGGGGGCCCAGACTGTGAGAGGGCACAGGCCGGGCTGAGGCATCCCCTCTCCCCCCCCGAGTGGCACAAATTTTTGTGCACCGGGCCTCTAGTCCTATATAATAAAAGACTAATATGCAAATCGACCAAAGGGTGGAATAACCGGTCACTATGACATGAACTGACCACCAGGGGGCAGATGCTCAACATAGAAGCTGCCCCCTGATGGTCAGTGTGCTCCCACAGGGGGAGCGCTGCCCAGCCAGAAGCTGGGCTCACAGCTGGCGAGCACAGTGGCGGGGGCGGGAGCTTCT